GTCTTAGGTGTTTAATTCTGCAGCGAGATATTGACTGTCAGCACGTTGGTGTTTTGTGCAGAAACGTGGAGCAAGAAGTGATTTCCTATTATTGATGTCCCAATGGGTTAGAAGCAGAGGTAGGCTTTCAAATGGAGCAAGTATCACCTCTATGTCCCATTGCCCTGTTATTCATTGTGAAGCAGGAGATATTCTTCCAAAGTGATACAAGCTGTGCATTATTCTCCCCCAACTCCTGAATGTTCATGTCATTAGTGAGTGATTCTGTATCCACAGTGAAACCTCAGACCAACCTGCCTAGATTTGAATTGACCCAACTGAAAATGATTTCAACTCATCAGTCCCACTTTGCTTTTTTAAAGTCAGGTTCTATATAGGTTATACACCAGTGCCTTCATCATTTCAAATATGGTTTCTTGCTCACATGGGGCTTTTCACTTTCAAAGCCTTCCAGTCCTTTTGAAAAGTATCCATCTTTGCTCATTTTGTTGGCTTGCCATTCTTTGAACCCTCTTCATATATAATGTTTCTGACCCAGTTATCTGTCACACAAAATCTTGGATGCAGTTCCATTTAATGTGGGTCACCCTCATTACATGACAGAGCAATAGTAGATTTTCAGAATAAAACTGGTTGCTTTGAAGTCCCATGAACCAAACTCTGTCTCAGGTCATAGAGTCACGGAGTCATAGAGTCACACAGCATGGAAACAAACCATTCGGCCCAACTCGTCTGTGCCGACCAGGTTTCCAAAACTAAACGAGTTCCATTTTCCTGCATTTGTCCCATACCCCTCTATATCTTTCCAGTCCAGGTACCTGTCCAAAATGTCTTTTAAATGTTGTAATTGTACTCGCCTGTACTGCTTCCTCTTGTGCCTCGTTCCATATACACACCACCCTCTGTGTAAAACAGGGTCACTGCTCAGGTCCCTTTTAAATCTTTCCTCTCTCACCTTAAACGCCTCTAGGTTTGGATTCCCCCTACCCTGTGAAAAAGACCTTGGCTGTTCACCTTATCTATACATCACATGATTTTATAAACCTAACACCTCAGCCTCCTATGCTCCAGGGAAAAAAGTCCCAGCCTATCCAGCCTCTCCTTATAACGCAAACCTTCCAGTCTCGGTCATAAGCTTGCAAATACTTTGTGCACCTTTCCAGTTAAATGGCATCCTTCCTATAGCAGGGCGACCAGAATTGTATGCACTACTCCCAATGCAGCCTTACCAATGTCTTGTACAGCCCTAGCATCATGTCCCAGTCCTATATTCAATGCTCTAACCAATGACAGCAAGAATGCAAAACACCTTCTTCATCATCCTGCCTACCTGCAATTCCACTCTCAAGGAATTTTTCCCCTGCACCCCTCAGTCCCTCTGTTTGACAACACTCCCTAGGGCCCTACCATTAACTGTGTATGTTCTGTTCTAGTTAGTCATACCAAATGCAATACCTTTCACTTATCTGAATTAAACTCCATCTGAAATTCCTTGGCCTACTTGCCCATTTGATTAAAATCTCATTATACTCTTAGATAGCCTTCTTCACTGTCCACTATACTACCAATTTTGGTGTCTCCCACAAGCTTATTAATTGTGCCTCCTCCTATATTCTCATCTAAATTGTTTATACAAATGACAAACAACAGCAGACCCATCACTAATCCTTGCGGCACACCCTTGGTCACAGGGCTCCAGTATAACCAACAACCCTCTAACAACACCCTCTGTCTCCTACCCTCAAGCCAATTTTGTATTCAATTGGCTAGGTGTCTCTGGATCCCTAGTGATCTAACCTTACTAACCAGTCTATCACGTGGAACCTTGTCGAAGGTCTTGCTAAAGTCCATGCACACAACCGTCCTGCTTTCATCTATCTTCCTGGTCACCTCTTCAAAAAAAATCACGTGAATTTGTGAGACACAGCTTCCCACCTACAAAGTCATGCTGACTATCCCTAATCAGTCTTTGCGTTTCCAAATACATGAAGACCCTGTCTGTCAGAATCCTCTCCAACAACTTACCCACCTTAAGTTCCCTGGGTCTTCCTTCCAGTCTTTCTTAAATAATGGCACAACATTAGACACCCTCCAGTCTTCCGGCATCTCACCCGTGGCTGTCAATGATACAAAAATCTCAGCTAGGGAATCCATAATTTCATCCCTAGCTTCCCACGATGTCATGGATACACTTGATTAGGTCCCAGGGATTTATCTATCTTTGAGTTTTAAGACCTCCAGCACCTCTTCTTCTGTAATGTGGACTCTTTTCAAGATGTCACTGTTTTTTACCCTGAGTTCCCTAACTTCCATGTCCTTCTCCACAGTAATTACTGACATGAAATATTTATTTAGGGTCGCACCAGTCTCCTGAGTTTGCACACATAGATGGCTTTGTTGATCTTTAAGGGGCCTTATTCACTCCGTAGTTACTCTTCTACTCTTAATATACTTGTAGAATCTCGTTGCATTCTCATTTACCCAATCTGTCACTACTACCTCGTGTCCCCTTTTCACCCTCCTGATTTCCTTCTTATGTGTACTCTTACACCCCCTGTACTCCTTAAGGCAATCACTTGATCCCAGCTGTCTACATATGCCTCTTTCTTTTTCTTGACCAGATCTTCAATATCTCTAGTCATCCAGTATTCACTACTCCTGCCAGCCTTGCCCCTCATATTAGCAGGAACATATTGGCCCTGAACTCTCGTTGTCTCACTTTTAAAAGGCTCCCACTTGCCAGATGTCCCTTTACTGCGAAGACCTTCCTGCAATCAACTTTATTGTGCCAGATAGCAGCCTTTATGATGCTGAATAGGGGCCTTTATCATGCCAGATAGGGGTCTGAATCATGCTGGGTTGAGGCCTTTATCATGCTGCATTGGGGCCTTTATCATGCCGGATTGAGGCCTTTATCGTGCTGCAATGGGGCCTTTATCGTGCTGGATTGGGGCTTTTATCGTGCTGGATTGGGGCTTTTCTCATGCCGGATTGGAGCCTTTATCGTGCTGGACTGGGGCCTTTATCATGCTGGATTGGGGCCTTTATCATGCCGGATTGGAGCCTTTATCGTGCTGGATTGGGGCCTTTATCATGCCGGATTGGGGCCCTTATCGTGCTGGATTGGGGCCTTTATCGTGCTGGATTGGAGCCTTTATCGTGCTGCAATGGGGCCTTTATCGTGCCAGATTGGGGCCTTTATGTGCTGGATTGAGCCTTTATTGTGTTGGCTGGGGTCTTTATTGTGTTGTTGACAGGGACCTTTATCATGTCTAATAGGGGCCCTTATCATGCCAAATAAGGGCCTTTATTGTGTTGAATGGAGGCCTTTATCATTCTGAATAGGAGGATTTACCGTACCAGATTGGGGCCTTTGACAGCCAGATGACATATGGGCATTGCTGGCTGGGCCAGATTTATTGTCCCTTCCTATTTATCCTTGTGAAGGTGGGGCTGAGCTGTCTTCTTGAACTGCTGCAGTCCATGTGCTGTAGGTAGACCCACAATGCAGCTAGGGAGGGAATTCCAAGATTTTGACCCAGAGATATTGAAGGAACAGCGATATATTTCCAAGTCAGGATAGTGAGTGCCTTGGTGCGGAACTTGCAGGGGGTGGTGTTTCCATGTATCTGTTGCCCTTGTCCTTCTAGTGGTCATGAATTTGAAAGGTGTTGTCTTTGGTGAATTTCTTGTAGTGTATCTTGTAGATAGTATACACTGCTGCTATTGAGCGTCAGTGTTGGAGGGAGTGCTTGTTTGTGGTTGCAGTGTCTGGGCGGTGTCAACAGGGAAGGTGATGGCCTACTGGTATTACCGCAAAACCAATAATGGAGGGATTGTCTATTGAGCAAAGGTTAAACAGGTTGGGATTCTACTCCCTGGAGTTTAGAAGAATGAGAGGTGATCTCATTGAAACCTATAGGATTCTTAAGGGGCTTGACAGGGTAAATGCTGAGAGGATGCTTCCCCCCATGGGAGAGTCTAGGACCAGAGAGCACAGTCTCAGAATAAAGGGGCAACAATTGAAGACTGAGATGAGGAGGTATTTGATCTCTCGTGGGTTGTAAGTCTTTGGAACTCCTTGCCCCAGAAAGCTGTGGTGTCAAAGTCCTTGTGTATATCTAGGGCTGAGATAGAGAGGTTCTTGATCAGTCAGGGAATCAAGGGTTATGGGGAAATGGTAGGAGAGTGAATGCAAAGAATGTGGAATGAGCCATGATCCTGTTGAATAGCACAGCAGACTCAAGGGACCAAATGGCCTACTCCTGTTCCGATTTCACATGGCCTTTATGGTTCTTATTGTTTATTTCACATTTGAAAACAAGTTTATTCCCAAAATGAACACAAGCTTTTGCTCATTTGAACATAAGTGTTGGTTAAAGTAAAGTGAACAAGTAAAGTTAGCAAGTTTACTTTAAAGACTCTGAGAGGTATACAAATCAAGATAAATCTATTATACAATTGAACATAGTTTAGTTACAATTTCATGTAAATTTATTTCACAAATAAACATAAATCGATTATACAAATAGACATGAGGTTATTATAAAATTGCACAGATGTTCATTACACAATTGAACATATGATTGTCAAACAAATTGACTTAATTCCTAGGGATAGTACAACTCTGTTTCATTTTTTCATCAACAGTTCATTTGCCAATGCTGGGAAGTAGCTGATGGTTTATCTGCTGCAGAAATCAGCTTGCAGCTAGGACCTACAGTCAGCACTTTCCATTTGGAAATAAAACTGAATGGATTTTAAAAAATATTAATACATATCAGAAAAAAACAAATAACTTGTCTGAGTTAACACAGTGTGGAGCTGGAGGAACAGAGGAGGCCAGGCAGCATCCGAGGAGCAGGAAAGCTGACATTTCGGGTGGGACCCTTCTTCAGAAAACGTGTCTGAGTGTTTATTTTCTTAAATGACTGTAATTAATGTCAATGATTATTTCATCTGATTGACTCCCTGGTGGTTTGACGCATGTATTAACATAGATTCTTATCCACTGCACGGTTCAGACCCAGTCACAGTCTTTCATCTCTGACAGAAGTCATCCACTCTCCCAGAAAATGGGGAAAGCAGTCATTCTGCTGGTGAAAGAGATTTACTACCCGATCCTCGCGGCTGTTGCTCTTCCTGGTGAGACATTGTAACCTGGTTGTTTTTGAGTCCATGTTAATTCCTGTTCATACCTCACTGTGGATTAGTAAACTGTTTCCCTGATGTCAGCATCCCATTATGGATAGTTAGTAAAATTATCTCCCGTACAGTGGTAGCTCTGGGTATTTTGATAATTGCACTGAATATATTTAACAATTTCCAATCGGTATCTCCACCTATTTAAATCAAACACTGGGTTGTTATTTCATTTAAATTTGCCCATGGATGTGGGTGTTGCTGGCTGGGCCAGCATTTTATTAAATGTCCCTAGTTTGCCCTTTAGAAGGTGGTGCTAAGCTGCCTTTTTGAAACTGCTGTAGATAGACCTACTATGCTATTAGGGAGGGAGTTCTGGAATTTTGACAAGTGAAGGAATGGTGATGTATTTCCAAGTCAGGATGGTGAGTGGCTTGGAGGGGAACTTGCAGGAGGTGGTGTTCCCATATATCTGCTGCCCATGTCCTTCTAGATGGAAAAGGTTGTGGGGAGTATTCCATCAAACACCTGACTTGTGCCCTGTGGACAGATTTTGGGAGCTGAGTTACGCACTGTAGTATTCCTAGCCTCAGATCTTCCCTTGAACCTACTGTATTTATATAGTGAGTCCAATTTAGTTTCTAGTCAACGGTAACCCCCAGGATCTTGATAGTGGGGGATTCAGTAATGATAATGTCACTGAATGTCAAAGGACAATAGTTAGATTGTCTTTTATTGGAGATTGTCATTGCCTGGCATTTGTGTGGCACATATGTTACTTGTTACTTTAGCCTATTCTGGAACCTTCTGAAACTTCTTTCACTCCCTCTTACAGCAAACTTGGTGAATATTGTGATTCTCTCCCGAGGAAACTGTGGCCTTTCCAAGTGTATATCCGTTTATATGGTGGCCATGGCAGCAACAGATCTACTGGTCATCATTAACAATATAATCATATATTGTATTTTCTCTTATCACTTTCCACTTTCATTCCTGTCTCTCACTCCTGTGTGTAAGGTCATCATATATATGAATGCTGTAGCTTTTGATTTGTTTGTTTGGTGCGTAGTCTCCTTCACACTTGACCGATTTATAGTGATCTGTTGCCAGAAATTTAAAACAAAGTACTGTACTGAGAGAACGGCAATCACCATTATAACAACACTCACCATCCTAATCTCACCGAAGGAAATACCAATTTTGTTTGCATATGAGCCTCAGCAAATAATTAACCAAGTGCAGTGGGGCTGTCGGTCAAGGGCTGCTTTTTTTTCTTCATCTCCAGGAATTGCATTTGTCTGGTTTTACAGTGCCTGGGTCATTTGGCTTCCTTTTACTTTGCTTGTCTTGTTTAATTCTCTAACCATCCGACGTATTTTGGTGTCAAATAGAACCCGCACTGGACTCTGCCAACTCAGGACGAAGAATCTGAGAGATTCAGAGGTGGAGAATCGAAGGAAATCCATCATTTTATTGTTCTCTGTATCAATCAGTTTCATATTGCTTTGGTTGACACATTCAGTGAACTTAGGAGTTACCAGGTTGACAGACACTAATTATTACCGTGGTGACAGGACAAGTCCAGCATATATTGCCTCCAAAATTGGACATTTCCTCTTATTTTTGAGTTGCTTTCAAAACCCATGTATTTATGCAGTGACCCAGAGCAAATTCAGAGAAGAAATGAAAAATATGTTGAAATTTCCCTGGAGGCTACTTCAAAGTTTAGTAAGAATAAAAGGATAAAAACAAATAAAATCTCGCAAAAGATTCCACAAAATAAAGTTTCTAATCCAGATTATTTTCCATTGTAGGGTATCCTTTCTGGGAAAGGGGGCATTTTCCACAAGCATTTCTTCAATGTGGATGAAGGAGCTGAGGGAACTGTTGCTAGTTTACAGAGGAAACAAAGATAAGTGGATAGTGTTCAGGAAGCGGGAATGCTACAGAAGGACTTGGACAGGCTAGGAAAGTGAGCAAAGAAATGGCAGATGAAAATACAATGTGGAAAAATGTGAGGTGGTGCACTTTGGTAGGAAAAATAGAGGGGTAGACTATTTTGTAAATGGGGAAGCGCAAAGGGACTTAGGAGTTCTAGTTCAGGATTCTCTGAATGTTAACATGCAGGTTCAGGTGGCTGTTAGCAGGGCAAATGCAATGCTAGCATATATTCAGAGATGATTCCAATATGAGAGAGGGGATACACTGCTGAGACTGTCTAAGCCTCTGGTCAGACTGCATTTGGAATACTGTGAGCAGTTTTGGAACCTATGTCTCAGGAAGCATGTGGCTTTGGTGGAGATCCAGAGACAGTTCACAAGAAAGACCCTGGGGATGAGGAGGTTGTTAAATAAGGAGTGGTTGAAGACTCTGAGTCTGTGCTTGCTGGAGTTTAGAAAGTTTGGGGTGAGAATTCACTGAAACTTGCAGAGAACTGAGACGCCTGGATAGAGTGGGTGTGGAGAAGATATTTCCATTAGTTGGAATGACTGGGACATGAGGGCACAGGCTCAGAGCGAAGGCAAAACTTTTTAGCTTTTAAATAAAGAGGAATGTCATCAACCAGAGGGTGGTGAATCTGTGGAACGCATTGTCCCATAGGGCTATGGAGGCCAAGACATTGAGTAAGACAGAAATAGGCCAGTTCTTCATTAGTAAGGGAATCAAGATTTATGGAGAGAAGGCAGGAGAATGGGCTTGAGAAACATATCAACCATGATCAAACAGCAGAACAGTCTCAATGGGCTGCTCTTATATCTTATGGTCTATCCACAAACCATGAACAATTAAAAATACTTCACTGATAGAAAGGTTCTGCAGAAATTGACATATTCACCCAAAAGCTGAAAAGGTAATTGGACAAAATAGTTGAGAGTGAAATCAATTTTCATCGAATGGAACAATGTGCTTCCATTGGTTAAAAAAACAAATTCAAAACATTGGAAAACAGAATTATTATCTTCTCGATAATGAAGTGCAAAGTAAATAGATTTTCATGATTGAAAACAAAGTGTTTGCACTGGTAAGAAAAATTGGAAAAATCAGAAAACAGATTGATGACACTCGATAATTGATAAAGGATCTTGAAAGGAAATTTTTTTTGTTTTTTAATGTTAGTTATGAGCTGGACACATCTATCTGAAGGGGAGAGGTTGATGATTCTATACTCCATTCATGTCCTGATGTGGGGTCTGGGGGTTATTGATTATTAAAAACATTGGGAACAGCCAGGATTTATTTAAATATACTGTTTATTCATTAGTGAGGGTTGAGAGTTTATTGATTTTAAAAACATTGGAAATGACCCAGTTTGTTTAAAGAGACCATTACTTTATTGTGGAGGGACAGAGGATGTTATTTATTGTAAAAACCATTTAGAAATGGCCAGGGTTTATCGAGATGGACCACTGATTTATTGATGAGGATCCAGGATTTTTTTTATTTAAAAACAACATGGGGGCAACTTTTTTTACACCTACAGTGGCTGGTGTGTGGAATGAACTTCCTGATGAAGTGCTGGATACAGAGATAGTTACAGCATTTAAGAGACATTTGGATAAGTTCATGAAAAGGAAAGGTTGGGAGGGAGATGGGCCAAGAGCAGGCAGGTGGAGCTAGTTTAGTTTGGGACCAAGGTTGGCAATGGACTGAAGGGTCTGTTTCCATGCCATATGACTCTTTGATTCTAAAACAGTATAAATTTCCCTGATTTCTCTCAACCCTGGCAGCAACTCGCCTCCCTCCCCCTTGATAAAGTAAAAGAGAAAACTGAAAATCTATCAATAGAATCAAAATTAGGATTAACCGTCCATTTTTCGAGAGGTTTCTGTTTCCTGAACTGTTACCCAGAGTTTCCCTTCCCCACAAATACTGCAGCATCTGCTCAGTCTGTCCAACAGTTCCTCTTTTTAGTCGTTTTGTTTTACTTTTCCTCTATTGTAGCTCTTCACAAGTTTTCCTTCAGTGAAACTTCCAGGGTTGCCCTCTGATGTTCTTGCTATTCGTATTATTGATTCATTTCAGATAATTAGAAATCAGACAGAAATGCTGCATTGTGTCCATGAAAAGTTGACATAAGA